GCTACCCTGAATGAGGGGCACTATATAAATGCACGTTGTTGTTGGTTGCTGTTGTCCTTTTTCTCCAATATTTCCAGCCAAGATTGTTATTGTCCCTTTTTAAATGGTATTCTTCTAACAATCCCTTTTTTTAGTGACAATCTTCAATTGATACCCACTTGTGGAAATGGCCTCAACAAAGCCATTCATAACCATTCATAATGATGGAAACCTGTGTTCGATTCCCTGTTAACCTTCTCTGCTCCAGTGAAAACACCAACTTTTCAAATCTCTCCATGTAATTGAGACCTCTCTCACTTGTATCATCTGAATGAATCTCTCTTCCAATTTTGGAGGGAGTCATGGACATTCACCCCTTGCCCATTTCAAGGGGTGAATGTCCATCACTCCCTCCAAAATTGGGTGTCCACTCCATAGTGTTTACAAAGCAATACATTTTATTCTTGTATTCAGTATTTTTTACAACTTATTACGACCATGTCCAATGGTTTTCCCGCATTTATTCGTCTGCACTCTATTAACTCGAGTTTAGAGTTGGAGACACAAACAAGAATGTAAAGAGTAATAATACTAATCCTTGCCTTATCATGTAACTGAAACTTCTCAAAGTGATTCACAGTATACTGTAAAGTGAATTGACTGTATTTGTGTGGGCAAAACTCAGAGGTAAGAACTGGAAAGTAGGAGAGAAAAATCAAAGCTTTGAATGTGCCTTTGGTCAACTTAGTTAAAGGTCTTATTTCTCTACTTGGTGTGGCCATTACAATTGTTCAGTGCAGTGAGATGTTCTTTCATGTGAATGGTACCTATAAGTGCAAGTGACTGTTTGGTCAGAGATGGAATCACACAGAAGGAATTCACCACGTCCTTCCCAAAGAGCTAACGATGTAAACCACATGAAGACTGCAAGAAAATCGACAGGGAGCATTTGCCAAGTATAAGTTTCCACATGATGCTGAAGATCTGTGCAGATAAATGTGGTATTAGAAACAATTAATATCAATTTCCCAAATGTTCTCACAGGGCAACCCAGAATGAACAGTTATTTAAATTATTAATGTTTCAAGTCCATGTGACAATTTAGAAGATTAATCACCCTGGGAATTATTTTATACAATCTATGTTTTCAGATCTGCACTAAATGTGCTTCTTACTCAAGCACATAGTTCCATGTTCCAGATCAGTGCCAAATGGCTCCAATGTACAATTTATCTCACCTGGTCCAACATGTTAATTAGTGCTTATTGTTCAGCCCCTTCGCTCATGGACTGGTGTGATTTTCTCTGAATAATATGGGCTTGTTGGTCTGAACATGTGAAGCAATGATTTGTCTCAGAGTTCGGAAGACAACATTACATTTTCAATGGAAACAAGTGTTGAGTTTCTGGGTTTGAACTATATTCAGCCAAATCCATTGCCCACCTTCATTTCAAAATGAAGTTCTCAGTCTGGACAAGTCTATGAGCTCACAGTCTGGTTGATAGTCTAGTGAAATACTGGAGTACTGCATTGGCAGAGGTGCTATTCTTTCAATTAAATCTTAAACTGAGGACTCATTTGAATGTTTGGATGAACATGAAAAAAAAGGAAAAAAAAGAACACATTTCTCTTGGTGTCCAAGTCACATACACTGTAGATTTAACAGTTATTTACCTGTTAGTCCTGCCCCCTTTGCCTATCTTCAGATCGCATCAGAAGACTCTTATCGTGGCTACCTTTTCTCCCCAGCTCAACATCATACTACACCATTGTTTTCACTCCACGTGAAGTGTTCTATTCAAATGCAAGTTGTTTTTTGTGGCACTTTACTGTGGTGACACAAACAATACATAATTGTCTTACAGATAACTGTAATAAACAAGTTCCATCTGTATACCACAGCATGTAAAAATCCTCAACTCTCAAGTGTAATAAATGAATCTGTAAAGTGATTTGAGACATTTTTGATGCATTAAGGTAGTATAAAATTCAAGTTTTATCTGAAAGAGATGTCTCAGAATGGACCTTAAACAGGTATTATACGTCACCAAATAGGACAGTGAAAGTAAATACATAAATATACCTTCAACAATAAAAACAAATTACATTTAAACAGCACCTTTAACATAACATAACATGTAGGAGCAGGAGTAGGCCATTCGGCCCTTCGAGGCCTGCCCCACCATTCAATCATGGCTGATCTTCTAATCTAACTCCAGCTAATAACCTGACCCTGCCTTATCTCCATATCCCTTAATCCCTTTTGCAATAAGAAATCTATCTATCTCAGCCTTGAATATGTTTTCATGACGGAAGGATGTCTCAAGTCACTGGACTGTTAAGGGTTTCCACCCGAGCTGGGGTTTGGAACCAAAAGGGTTGGAGGGTAGGTGGGACAAAAACATAAAGGGGAAGGGCTACACCTAAACTACTGTATACAGTTCTGGTCACCATGACATAAGGGATCTTTGACTTACCCTTGGACTAGAGAGAGACAGTCCAGAGGAAAACAACGAAGATGATCCTTAGTGTTAAGGGAATGAGTTATGAGCAATATTAGGGCTACAGCTCTTCAGTATTGAAAAGAAACACTTTAAAGGAACCTTATAGAGGTATAGAAGATTTGAAATGCGATTCATAAAGTAAACCTGTAGCAATACTTTCAGATATGCCAAGGCAACAGAAAAAGAGGGCAATTTCATGACAGACACGATAAAGTTGTTTTTTACCCAGAGGATAATTAATAATAATAAATCATCCTTTTGTTTGATATAGTGCCTGATCACGTTTTCCGAGATGTCTCAGCACAGGCTTTTACTGTAAAGTATAGTGACTTGGTATTTACAGGCAAACTCGGTGGTCAATTTGTGCACAGAAATGTTCCACAAACAGTCATGGAGTAAATAATCAATTTCATTTGGGGAATTGCTGCTGGGACACCGAGAGAATCTTGCTTCTCTTTGCAGATAATGTCATGCATCTTTTATGTGCACATGAACAGACAGATGAGACTTTGGTTTAACGTCTCATCCAAAGGAGGGCACCTCCAACAATGCAAGGTATCCCCAGCACTGCATTGAAGTGTCAGTCAAGATGATGTGAGTTCAAAGTCCTGATGTGGGGTTTGATTCCCACAACCTTCGGTTCAGAAGTGAGAGCGACACCAACTGAGCCAGGTTGACACATGATTCAAAGGAGTCACCAGCAATGGTATTTGACCCCAGGACATTGGAATATTTTGATAAACAGCTTGATGCTGTGATGGGAAGCAGGGAGGGTGGGAAAGATGAGATTGAATAGAGTGAAAGGCCTATTTCGACCAATCTTGCTTATGATCTTGTTCGGCGGATTTCCAGCTGTTGGATTGAAAGGAAACTCAAATCAAAGATATATGAAAGTCAATGAGTTTTGTTTGAACTTTGATGTGAGGAGAGAAGGAAGTTGCTTGTCTGAACACAAAAAGATACAGATTGTATCATTTGTGTTACATTTGACAAGGCAGTTTCCAAAATCAGTCCATGTGTTTCAGACTTTTTCCCCATCCATGAAGCTTGTTAATTCCCAACTAGTGTCACATGCATACAGCTCACAATGATCGTAAGTGCAGTCAGTGCAAGCTGAGTTACTCTTTATATTGACATTCAGGGGAGATTGCACTGCTCTGCACCGTTCATTCAGAGCATTGATCATTTCTCAGTGAGTGCCATGTTCGATGCCCCTACTCTCATGAGACCACTCGGAAAGTGATCTGCCAATCGACTAACAACCAGGTTCCTACTTACTGCTAGGTAAATTAGAGGCATGTGGAGTAAGGAAACTTATCTAGGATTTTGTCCTGCTCGAAAATCAAATCTTCTCGCTAGTGAGGTGAGGGTGCAACCGCTACGGGATTCCTGTGATAATCCTGATAGAGAAGCCCATTTGGTTTTCTATGGACCCAGTGCCACAAAGGATTGTTTACCAGTTATAATAATAACAATAATCCTTGCACTTGATAATGCCCTATCTTGTCATCAAAATATCTCAAAGCGCCGCATAGGATTTTATTGTTATTGTACACAAACACAACAATTCGCACACAGCAATGTTGCACATACAGGCAAAAGTGTGACAGTTATATATGGAAGTCTGTTGGCCAGATCACCCGAAGAAACTGCTTTCTCTTTTCATATTGTGCCATGGGACCTTTGACATCCATCTGAACAGAAAGATGGGATCTCAGATTAACATATCATCCAAAGAACGGCATCTCCAATGATGCAGCACTGCTCTGACGCTCTCCCAAAACTGCATTGCAGAGTATGAGTTCAAAGTCCCAAAGCGAAACTTAAACCCACAAGAGTGAGTTATGTGAGAACTTCAATGTCAAGGAAGAAAGAAGTTGTTGTCTGTCTGAGCACAAAGAGACACAGGTCATCTCTTTTGTGTCATATTTGATAAGGCAGCTTCCAAAATCAACTAGTCCCAATAGTTTCAGAATTCTTCCCCAACCCTGAGGATTACTCACTTTCCCAGATGATTGTAAGTGCAGTCAGTGCAAGCTCTCTTTACATTCAGGGAGATTGCACTTCTCTGAACAGTTCAGGACATTGACCACTTCTCAGTGAATGCCACGTGAGATGCCCCTACCCTCATGAGATCGACTGAACGTGGAAAGCCTGTGCCCAGAGCTCTGATCTGACAGCTCCATTGTAAAGCTGTGAGGTACACAAGAAATAATTAGTTCTTTGTGACCAGATAAGATCAATGGAACCAAAGTGTGGAATACATAATGAGTCAGGTTCAGAGCTGGCGTTCGGTCAGTCCACAGGTTCCACGCAGACGGAATAGACCAAAGCGACTAGACACTGAGGGGTGGGTGGGTAGAAATAGGTGGATTGTGAACCATATGCATGTGATACCTAATTGGGAATTAATTGGTTAAAAGGGGTTGTTCAATAACTCCATTTCCTTATGACAAACAGGGGCTGGGACTAGGACACAGCCTAATTATAAATAGAGGGCTTGGGTCATCTCTCCTTTGTACAGTTACTGGGATCTTTAAGGTAAAGGTACAGTTTCACAAAGTGCAGCTATTGTCTGACAGTTGCTTGCTACTAAACTCTCTTTCTTGTGTACTCCTTAGTGTGTTTGAAAGCAACAACAGCAAAATGTTGACTGTTCTTATCTTGCTGAGTCTCCTGAAGTCCTACAGTGCCAGTGATAAACCCAGTGGTAAGTTATTTTGTTTCTATCCACTTCTCCAGGCTCGTGGAGCAGCAATCTAGGACATAGCAATCAATAGCTTTCCATCCAAACTCCTAAACCTAATCTTTCTCCTGATGTGTTTTGTCTGAAACACTGATAGTACAGCGCCTTGGGACGTCCTCCCAACATGAAAGGCGCTATACAAATGTAATTTTGTTGTTGTATTTAGTTGCAATGGGGTCCAAGAGTCTCCTGAACAGTTGCAAGGAGCTGGCATTTCGGCCAAGATGGGAGTGAGCACAAACTTATGAATGGATTTTATTCAATTCAGAGTGGGAACCAATGCACTGCTGCCAGACCATTCTCTGCTCACTTCCTTTTCTCATCTAGCCCCTCTGGCTCACTCTTGTAACCATTCCTTGGAACGACAGCTCTCTACCTTTCTCCCTCCCACACTTTGCCTTTCTGATGAAATTGACACCATCTCAGATTATTCCATTCCCTCAGTCTTCCCTTCCTCCTTTACTGTAATGAATTCTTTCCTCCCTCACTTTTTCCTTCCTTCTGCATGTTCCACGACTCCTCATATTTCCCTTATGTTTCTAGTTAATAATCTACTCATTCCATCACTTCAATAATCCTTTCCACCTTTCCTCTGGATAGTGCCTCCATTTTTCTGTTTCTCCTACACTCTACAAGACTTCTCTCCTTATTTCTTTCTTTCCTTCCCGCTCATTTCAGGATTCTCTCTCCTCCCTCAGTCTACCTTCCTTCTATATTCTTTCCAGCTCTTCTATATTCTCTTCTACTCATAGGCTGTACAGACGCTTGAACCTAATTGCAGCATTACTCAAATGCTAGATCTGGGTCCATCTCCTCTCTTCACTTTTGCTACGTGGAGCTGGAACATCAGACAGGATTGATAACTGGAAATTATCATGTTACCCTCCAGTTGTTCCAAACAGCATGGGTGTTCCACTTGTGTTCCCTAAGTTGCATCCAATAATGTCTGCACTGAGCTCAACTTCCTTGGGAGCCAGTTGTACTTGTCCACCTCACCAAATGTCCATTCTTCACAAGTGACCTGTAATGTGATGTTTGTCCCGTCAAATCAGCTCTAGGAACATCACAGCTGTGCCTGGTCCTGTCCTCACCCGTCATCAGAAGCCAGATCTGGAAAGCAAACTCCTGCCAATATTTCCCTCTCACTGAGCTGTACTATAGCAATCCCTGCCATCAGCCGGGCTTACAAAATACAGCTAAACATGAGCAAGGGCTCTGCTGGGATTTTGCTTGCCTGTGCTACTCAGAAGCCTGTGGTTCTGTGTGGTTACGCAACAACAATAACAAGATTATATTTGTATTGCACGTCGGGAGGACGTCTTAAGGCACTGAACACACAACAAATGAAAGCCTATCATCAGCCAGATGGATAGTCTCTCCCTGCACTGTTTGATATCTCTGAGGTAACTAATTCCAACCATTTCCACTGAATTTCAGCGGGCAAAGTTTGACAAATGGGAATCAAGAGCTTTGCAGGAATTTTTCATGAGACAGTGAACAGTCATTAATTATCTTTTTACTTTTTGCAGATTATGAGACAATACCAAGTATAAAAGGAGGATATGGTCCTATTATTCCAGAGCATGACCAAGGAGGGTATGGTTCAATGAAAACAGATTATGGTATCTTTGGAGACCCTCATGCAGTATTTACAGGCAAAATGCCTCTGAATGGATTTCCAGTGGAGAAATTTGTTATCGCATCCAGTCAAATTTGCAAGGACAAAAGAGGCATTTGCAAAAGTCCCTGTCAAGAGGGTTTTACCAGCTTCAATAATATGTGCTATAAATACATCCACCGCAGACTATGTTTCCATGATGCAGAGGTATGTCGTTGATGAAATAAAGTTTCTATCAAAGACAACTTCCAAATGTCTCAGAGCTGTCTTGGGTCACAGTCTTCTGGTGAATTTTTGTTGGGAAGCTGCATTAAGAGGGAAGAAAGATGACCAGAGAGGTGGGGAGAATATGAGGAAATCTGACGATGAGGGAAGGAATGAGAGAATATGGGGAGACAAGAGGACCAGAAGGGGGGAGAGAGAAAGTGCAGGGACACATCCGTTCCAGATGACAAATTTATCAGAGGGAAGATAGACTAAATATAAAGCAAGTATACAATAAATAATTATGAATTAGATGTGTAAGAAATGATTAAGAGATAAAATGGATTGTAAGATTGCAAAAAAAAAGGAAGAAATGATTGAATGGAAAAATAAATGAGGCATTCAGCACTGGAGTGTGCTGAGAACAGATAGAGAACACAAAACATTGCTATGTTATGTTCTGTGTTATGACTGAGATCAGGACTTAGCTGTGCAGGTATATGACTGACTGACATCTATCACAGCCTCGTCTGAAAGAAATCTGTGTGTGCGCTTTGGCCAATTCTTTGCCAAAGTTTATTAGCTCGGAAATTGATTAGAATTCCACATAGTTTAAAACATAAAAAGACTTGGAAATTTGCCTCAGACATTTTGGTAGAAAGGTTAAATCCAGGCACATTCACGAATGTTGGTGAGCACATTTAATTTTAAAGCTATGCAAAATTTTATATTCAGAGGAAAAGTAATTCTACACATTTACGTGCTATCCAAAGTACACACTTACATTTTTGCCTTCATTCTTTGCTCCCTTAGATGCACTGTCGAAATAACTACCCTGGCGGTCACCTTGCCTCTGTACATTGTAATTTGAATCATCAGTTGCTCAGAGACCTTGCAAAGGATGCTTACTACACCCACCCCATGACTTGGATCGGTCTCACAGACTGTAGCAAAGTAAGCAAATGTCCCCTTTTGTACCAGCAGCTTTAATGCAACATGTGGAGGCGAAGTACATTCGAGCAAATTATTTAATTCTATTTTCCTGGCTTTTCTCCATATTATTCAATGTTCTTACCTACTATGTATCTGTCTATCTATCTACTAATATCTACAAACTGGATTTGTCTATCTATAAATCTAATTCTCGAACACTTCAGTTGTTTGTATATCTATCTGAGGCCTCCCAGCTTCTGTAGTACAGTTTGACTCAAGCTGGTCTTTTGTCCTGAGTATTTGGCTGGGATCAGGAACTCTCTTTGCGGAACATGCATGGTGAGGCCCTGGGTCACTTGGGTCTTCCCTCTAATTGGTAATTTTACATCACTGAACCTAGCAGTTTCTCCACTGTACTTGCCATAATACCNTTTTTTCTAGGGTGTTGACTTTCACTGGAGACTCAATCCTCTCTTCCTTCTTGTTTCAATCTAGGAGTGCCATTTCCTATGGACCGATGGAACAGTTTCAGACCACACAGAATGGTGTCCTGGTGAACCCTCTGACCAAGTTGGAAAAGAAAACTGCGTGGCCATGAACCATAAACGTATGTAGTTAGAGATTGTTTTTAGAGAATTATCATTAATTTTAAAAACATTGCTACTTTGCTCTGCTGGACATTTCCAACCCTCTAGCACTTGGTGTTACAATAATTACCCACATAAAGTACAGGGAAGCTAACACATTTTCGTTCTTTTCACACATCCCTTAGCAGGTTGCAAAAGTCGACAACCCTCTGAATTTGGCGTGGATTCTGAATCTTTTTAATTTTAATTTCAATCTATGTTAGCAAGTGCTGTTGGGTTGTGCATTTGGTTTGCATACTGGTCTCCAGTTTTACATTTCCACCCAATGCAGCAGTCCCTTTTCTGAAGCTTGATCCACAGCCACAACATCAAGACTAGATGGTGATCTGGTGGTGCAATGGTGGTATGGTAATGGTATGGATTTGACCATGTTTCAGGCAGGTGACAGTGGCTATTTACTGAGCCTAACAACAGCTTGGCTTGAATTCCCAGTTCCCAACTCCTCCCCATCGCCGGTCAAGTTGTAGCCTAACCCTACTGGGGACAGGAACTGCTGGGTCAGCCTACCATGAACAACAAGGATTCTTGTTGGGACTAAGTAACTGGAGTGCCTGTACCATTAGTACAGCTGATCAGTTCTGAATAGTTTTTGCTCAGATTCTTTTATCCTCTGATGACATGGTGAATAGAACAAGAGGAAAAGTTGACTTCAATGAAAGCAGGGTAGAAATTCAAAATTTATATAATCCACAATGACTGTGGAGCCAGGTGGGAGATACAGGCACTGTGTAACTCATCATTGTTTTTATCTCCAATGCCTGTGTTCTGCACTTTTCAGTCTTAAATCTCCACTGTTCCCTTCTGCACATGTGGAGTCCTGTAGCTCAGTGGTTAGAGCACTCGCTTTGCAAGTGAGAGACCTGAGTTCAATTCCAGGCAGAGGGCGAAACCTTGGGCAAGTTTCCTTACTCCACACAGAGCCTAATGATAATCCCTACAAAACCAAAAACAATAATTAAATTGGTCATTTTCAATTTACGACTGTTTGTGGGACATTGCTGTGCGCTGCCGCGTTCACCCACAAATATACAGTCAATTCACTTTACAGTGTGTTCTGTGAAGCGCTTTGGGATGTCCTCCTGACATGAAAAGCGCTATATCAAATGCAAGGATTATTATTATTATTATTATTATTATGTCTATTAGATAATAATAAATAAAATAATCCTTGCATTTGATATATTGCTTTTCACATCTTCCAGACATCTCAAAGCGCTTCACAGAATAGACAAAAGTGAATTGACTTTATATTTGTGGGTGAAACATGGCAGCCAATTGCACACAGCTGTGTCCTACAAACAGTCATGGATTGAAGTGACCAATTCATTATTTATTTTTTCTTGAGGGATTATTATCAGGCGTGTGGAGTAAGGAAACTTGCCCAAGGTTTTGCCCTGCAGGAATTGAATGCAGGTCTCTCGCTTGCAAGGCGAGTGCACTAACCACTGTGCTACAAGTTCGCGAGCTAGATGTCAGAAGAGTTGAAATTACAGCGATTGTAAATGATTTGCCGTGATGCCGATTTCTCTGTCTGTTGACACAATGCCAGACTGTTCATTTACATTTCATACTCTACATATCTTCTCTTTCAGTTCAATATCTCTGGACTGATGAGGAATGCAAAAATGAGTTTAATTTTATCTGTGCCTATCGATTGGGCTGCCCGGGAGAAGGCTGTAACCAACTCTAAGAACAACATCAGAAAGGATTCTTTTTTCCAGTGTCACTTTTGACCTGTCTTGAAATGGCATTTTTAATCTCATTTTGGAATTATAATCTGTTCTGAGATTGTAGAAACCAATAAAGTAGTGAAGCATCACACTGTCTCTGCTGAGTTCTATGTTAGATTCATTGCTCTTCACTGGGTAAACTTGAATTAACTCATTAGATCAAAAGAGGTCAACAGGTAATCATTGAGGATTAAATAATCAAGGGAAGATCCTCATCTTGATCTTCAAATCTCTTTACTGTCTCACCTTTACATGTTGGGACAAATTATATCATTGATTGAAAAAATATATGGAGAAAAAAATCTATGAGTTTGGTGAGCAGTTTTAAAGAAAAGAGTGCAAAAGTGGTGGCATCTCGGTTGAAGTGTGGAAAGAGTGAGCAGGATAATTAGCTTCAACGACAAGTAAGGAAATTCTATGTGCAAGAGGATATTAGTGATACAGATAACTGGGAACTTTTTCAAGCAGGTGAAACGTTTAAAGGAATGATGGTTTACACCTAACTAATCAAGGAGTTAATGAACTGGCACAAAACTGAATTATCTGCTTGATAAAGAGATCGGGTCTATTGATTATCAGGAAGACATGGGAAAAATGGAACAAGGTAGACTGTCACAAAGAGGAAATATGTTAATCAAGAGTACAAAGATGTCAGAAAACTGAAATAGCAAGACCAGACAATAATTAATGATAATAATCCTTGCATTTGATATAGTGACTTTCACATCATTGAGGCTTCTCAAAGTGCTTCGCAGGATATACTGTAAAGTGGATTGACCCTGTGTATTTTGTTGGTGAAAAGCGGCAGCCAAAGGGTCATCTTAGACTATGTGATTTCAAGCTCTGATAGACTGTTACAGACTGTTTGACCAAAGCAGGGAGAGTGATGTGTCAATTTTGGAATACGAGGAGTTTATGTGAGAAAAAAAAGACAGTATTGATGGGGACTTAATCAGCCTAACAAACTGGAAATACCCAAGTGCAAAAGGCTCTGAGCTTGTAAATGTGGTATATGACTGCTCCAAGTGCACACCAGTACAGAAATGTACACCATTACTGAATATACACTAGCACAGACTACGTGTCAGGATGTACAGATGTATGTCTCTTCCTTTTTTAATTGTGCCACGCTGTGCTTAAAATCTCCAGAAAGTGACACCTGGGACTGTGGTTTAAGTGGCCTAAAAGCAAACACTTCTGTCTATGTAAAGCTTTCCAGCACCACCTGGAGAGTCAACCTGGACACCAAGTTCAAAACCTGATGTGGGACATGAAACTTTACCTTCCACTTAGAGGCGAGAGTCCTACCCGCTGAGCCAGGCAAACACAGATTCTGTTTTTTTCCCCACTTATGTTAATAACAAATACAATTTCTAATTTAAGTCTCTCTTGTCAAGGTCAATTAAGATTAAGGTTTGATTTGTGCAAAAGAGAATAAGGATTCCTATGGTAAGTTATAAAATGTAGATGCTGGATGAGATGCATTCCTCAATGTGATGGCTCCCTCCTCTGGGCACTGTGAAGCCATCAGTTAAAGTCAACGACAACGTTAACAACAACAATAAACAACAAAATTACATTTTTAAAGTGCCTTTCACGTTGGGAGGATGTCAGTTAAAGAAAGAGTGTAAAAGTGAAAGTGCTCACTGGGGCATAAATTTGTTACGAAACTCAGATTGTGACTTCATATTGGAACCTGAACCTATAATTTTCTAACCAAGAAGAGTCACTAGCTGAGTCAAAATGTTTGCATCAAATCGGGTAAAGCATGAAAATAAATAGATAAAAGAGGAACAATGAAAGGATATGAGAAAGGAGCAACAGAGTGGAATGAAACTGGATAGCTCACAGGGAGAAAAATAATATTGACTAATATTTCCAAATGTGAAAGGTGCTATATGAATGTTAAATTGTATTGTATTGTTACATTCCAGTAAGGTAACTGAGTCATGTCATATCACATTGAATATATTTTGAATGTCACAAGTTTACCCTGTGATAATCACTAATTCACTAAAATGACTGGTCTTTTTGTCTATCAGCTGCTTATTTTACTTCCTATTTTCAGAAAAGGCACATGAAAAATCTTAGGGTCCAGGCTCACACTGACAGTTCAGTGATAGCAATGGACCAAACCCCAGCATCTTCTGGAGAAACACAATGAAAGGGAAAGAGGAACCTCAGTGAATGGTAAACTAATGGTATCAATCATCTGAAGCAAATTGAGGATTAAATAATTAAATTAAAATTAAGGTTTAAATAAATTAAATTGAGCATGAAAATAACCAAATAATTGACTGCCAAATAAATGGGAGATCAGAGAAATCCCAATTTGTTTTCAAATCAGGTGAGGGAATCATTAATGTCCACCTGAACGGGACTATTCTCCTGCCTGTAACCACTTCTCATTGCCTGAACAATCTGCTTCAGTCCTATTCTCCCAATGCTAACACTCTTCTAACTTATCTACTGCTTTTTCCTGACACCTTCCATTTTAACTTTGGTGATCAAGCCTTCAGGTAAAATGGCCCGTTCCCTGGAACTTTCCCCACATATCCTTTCTCTTTGGTCCTTCTCTTCAACGTCATCTGTCCTGTGGCTCTGACCCCCTCAACCTCCCTGGCCTATCCCTCAGACTCACCAAACTGGTGCACAAGCTAGGCATCACGTTTGACCTACAACTGTCCTTTTGTACCCCACATCCGATCCCTGACCAGGATGGCCTTTCTCCACCCCGTCACATTGCCGAGACACCACCAAAACACTTGAACATGTATTGTCACCTCCCACCTCGACTATTCAAATGCCATTCACAAAATCCAGCTGATCCAAAACCCCGCTCCCCACATATTAACCTGTACTAAACTCTGTAGCCCCATCACACCAGTCCTAGCCAGACTCCACTGGCTCCCTATCACCAAACAAATCCATTTCAAGATCCTCACACTCACTTTCAAATCTCTTCATGCTCTGGCACCTACCTACCTCTCCGATTTGCTAACTCCCCAACCCACTATCTCTGCTCAACTGGCTCTGGCCTCCTGCATGTCCCTTGTGCGCTCCGTTCCATCATCAGTGGCAGGGCTTTCAGCCACTAGACCTGAAACTCTGGAACACTCTTCCTCTATCCTTCTGCCTTGGCCCTTCCTTCCACATGTTCAAGACTTTTCTCTTTGATCATGCCTACAGTCACCTCTCGCAAACTTTACGGCTCCTTGTCCTCAAACTCGAACTGTGAAGAGATGATGGATTTCCTCGAATCCAAAATCGAGGGGATTCAGCCACCTCCGTCTCATCCACTGCCACCCCCACATCACCTCTCCCTCATGACTCACCCCCCTCACCCATCCCCCCTATACTCCTTCAACCCTATCTCTCCCACCTCCCTCACCCCCATTATTTGCACACTCAAATCCACCACCTGCTCCCTCGATCCCATCCTAACTTCTCTCCTATCTCCCAGCTCCACCTTCTGGCCCCTCTCTTGTCCAATATCATCAACCTCTCCTTGTCCACTGGTTCAGTGTACACCCATCTAAAAACAGCCGTCATCACCCCCATCCTGAAAAAAACCTTCCCTGGACTCACCCTCCTCTCCAGCTACCACCCCATCTCTAACCTCCCAGTTCCCTCCAAGGTCCTGGAATGAGTCGTCACGTCCCAGCTCCACTCCTTTCTTTCTCGACATTTCCTCTTTGAACCCTTCCAATCCGGCTTCCTAGCTGCCCATAACACGGAAACAGCCCTGGTCAAAGTCATTAATGACATCCTGAACATCCGTGATCAGGGCTCCGTCTGCTTCCTTGTCCTCTTCGACATCTCTTCCGCCTTTGACACTGTCGACTACTCTATCCTCATACACCGCTTCTCCTCTTTATTTAATCTTCACGGACCTGCCCTTGCCTGAATCGAATCCTATCTCTCTCACCATCTCTACTTTGTTGCCTCTAACGATTTCTCTTCCAGCCCCTGCACTGTCATGTCTGACATCCCCAAGGGTTCTGTCCTTGGTTCTCTCCTCTTTAATATCTACATGCTCCCCCTTGGTGACATCATCCGCAGATATCGGGTCAACTTCCATATGTATGTGGGATACCCAACTCTATCTTTCTGCCTCCACCCTCAACTCCAGGACCACTGCTTCTCCTGACAGACTGCCTGTCGGACATCAAGTTCTGGATGAAGGCAAATTTCCTACAGTTGAATGTGAACAAGACTGAGGCCCTCCTGATTGGCTCGCGCCAGTGCCTCAGCACCTCAGGCTCTGGCAGCATCAACCTCTATGGTTGCACACTACAACTCACCAAGCCAGTCAGGAACCTAGGTGTTTTGTTCGACCCTCAACTGTCTTTACTTACTCACATCCAAGCCATGACCTAATCTGCCTTCCCTCACCGCCGTAACATCTCTCGACTCCGCCACTACCTCACTCCTCAGGCCACTGAAACTATTGTTCATGCCTTCATCACCTCCAGGTTTGACTATGCAAATGTAGATTTCTCACTGATCTTCACACTCAAATATATATTACGTTAGGCTTGTGATGAACTATGTGGTCTTCCCTCACTTCATGGCTGTTTGTCGATATTGTTGGGTTACAGAGTGGAGGAGAAAGGAAAGACTGAAGGAAACCTGTAGGGTGCGAGAGAAGGGGAAAGCTGAGAGAGGGAAAGAGTTCTACAGAGTGTCAGATGAAAGGAAATTTGAGGAACAGGAAGTGTTCCAGTCTTGTGCCTGAGACAGTGATGAGTTTTGATTTTGACTTAGAAAGGAGGAAGAGCTGAATCCAGAGCTCAAAAACAACAATAACTTGCACTTATATAGCATGTCAGAGCGCTTAACAGTGGCGGAGCTTGATTCCAAGCCGGGTGAGGGGGGGGGGGGGGGTGTAGGTGGCCGTAAGCACGGTCGAAGAAGTCGTATTCTCACTCACTTCTTCCCTCCTATTGCCCCACCTGCCTCCTCTTTCTCCTGGACTATTCCCCTGTCTTCCTTTGTTCCAACTTAGAAATCCTCCACCGAACTCATCACAGTACTGCCCCAAAGCAATTATCCCAACTCCCTACCCCCAGGCTCCCAGTGCTTTGAG